GAAAGTACCTAGAAGGTCATCTACCTCAGAACAAAATACCAGCAGTTCCCAAACATTTTGAACAGAGACCATTGACAGGCCTCAAATTTTAACAAAACAAACAAAAAACCCACATACAACCAACCAAAACCACCTCTAACACCTAAACAATTCACACAATGTTATATAACATGGTTGAACTTTAGTCACTGTGCAAATCAATTTGAGAATCACATTCTCTAGAAAGTTTGTAAGCAAGAAATTTCTTTGACCACAGAGAAAAAGAAGGGCAAATCTACCACTAAAGTCTCCACTTGTCTTCTAATAAGGCAGACCTAAGCTAACTAGCCACAAAAAAACAAACTATTTCTATGAACATCTTACTGTGTCACAGTAACCAAGGAAAATGCACAAACCCAACTAATCTTTTTATTCTCTCCTCCATCAGCCTAAACTGGGAAAATATCCCCAAGAGCCTCCTGCCTTCTGACATCCTCCCACCAGCAGTATCACTGCCACAAAACAAAACCAAACACAGGCACACAAATAAAGGCAGCATGCGCTGGGGAGACACATGACATAACAGGGGACAGATCACACACACACTAAGAAAAAAGTGCGCACGTAAAAATGAAGGACTGCTTACGAACTTTCACATCTTAAGCTTTTAGACTCATTTCCAAAAAGTATGCCTTGGATAAGACTTATGCTATAAATAACAGTGATAATTAATGCCAGTATTTCAGTATTTTAAAAAAATAAATAAATTAGAAGTGTGTATATTTAGGAGGTGCTACAGGAATTCTTGATAGGTATGTGTAACATCTGTATAACCATAGTAGCCCTGGAATACATCGATACTACAGTACAATTTACCCTAAAGAAGATTTCTTTCTTGAAAGCTCTCTAATACTTTGAAACATCGCTGGGCAAAACATACCTGCTTATCAATTTTCCCAGTCTCAATAGATATTTCAGTTCAGACCAAGGAGTCAAAACAAAAGCTGCAAACATTCCAGTAAAACTGGGTTGCAGTGCATTAGGGTTTACTTTCTCCTACATTAGCGGTACTGTACCTCCACACACAACTACTTGCAAAAAGCCCCTATTCAACTCTCCGAACTCATCACTTACGAATCTATCATTTTGCAATATTGAGCCTGCATCCATATAATGATACCCAGTAGAGACCACTCTGATTGGGCAAGGCACGGAATTAACAGTTAATAATTAAAAAATAGACTCCCAAAAACCAGACTCACACATACAAAAAACCCCACAGACTCCCACCAAACATACAAAAAAACCCCAAAACCAAACAAACAAGCCCCCCCTCCCCAAACACATTTTATCTTCTATGCACATACCACACTGCCTTCCCCTCCAGAGACAGACAGTACCAGAGGAAGAGAGGTCAGGTGACCAAAGCCACCAAACTCTGCAGCAGACTCAAGACCAGAAACTACACAGTATATATTGCTAACAAACCAGAAGGGAACATCCTGCTTATCCTCAAAAATACCCCTGAAGACATGGTCAACCAAGACTCCCATATTCTTTCAAAATACTTATTTTGCATATAAACAGAAGTAACTGATAACACAATAACACTGATACCTTAAAATAGCAGGGTAAGTCTAGTAAGGCTGGGGATGTTTTTTCATTCATTTTATATTTTAAGTCTTCCTGCACTTACCTGACAGAACCTTGGTCCAGGACTTCAGCATTCCATTTCCCTGCTAGTGTTGATGACAACAGAACACCATAAGGAAAGCATGAAAGGAGACGCCCTGAAGTGACTAAAACAGTGCTAATGATGTCATCAACATTCTGGTGGAAATATCATAATGACCATCTTAACCTCAGTTTAAAATATTTCTAATGAAAATTATTTATATAGTATCCGTAAGATTAATACTTCCTAAATTTGTCCTCTTCATCACCCCCACCCCCCAAAAAAGTGCATTACAGTGGATTGTTCAGGTGTATAATCCCATTCCAGGTTATTTAGAGACCACAGATTCTTTCTAACCTGTTCAAAGTCACTGCTGTATTTTTGGGAGAAGTGATGGCCAATCACTCCCCACAGAAACAGAGCTCTAGAAGCAAAGAATAATACAACAGCTCAGATTGGAAAGGACCTAGAGAGATCATGTGATCCACCCTTTCAAGGGAAAGGGAGCCTAGATGATCTTACCTAGCACCCTGTCCTACTGCATCTTGAACCTCTCCAGCAACGGGAACTCTATCATGTTCCCAAGGGGGTTGGTTGATCCAGTGAACGTTTGTTATCACAATTTAATAAAATAATTTTTTCTTCCATATATGGAGCTGAAACTTCACCCAGCACCACTTGTACCTGTTCTCCCTTACCTTCTCCATGTGGCTTCTCGTGAAAAAAGAGCTTGTGTCCTCTTTATAGATGTCCCCTACGTTGGGGAGACATCACTGCAATAAAAACACTATGGAGAACAATTCCTTCTCTGGAAACTGCCACCCTTCTCAGGAATCAAAGAAATCGTATAGGAGAAAAAATTCCTAAACGCCAAGAACCAACTTTTCCATGGGAATTAATCTGAATTAAAGGAGTTCAGCCACTCTCAGTATTTTACACCTAAATTATTTCTCATTTAGACATTTAATTGCTGCACTGTACCCTGATTTCTATTTGTAAACAGCACTACTATTTGTTTATGCTCTTTGTCAGTGTTGTACCCACCACCAAACTTGATTGAAACCGCTTATATGCAAACATATTTTCTTGTTTGAGTGACTTAAACCAAAATTAGTTTTAAAATGCCAGGTCATACAAATAACCAATAGGCAATAATGAAAATAAATAAAATAAAATTTAAAGCACATCTGTTTTAAGATTTCCTCAATTCTCCAAATAAGAAATTTGTATTTGCAGTCTTTAAAGCAAAGCTGCTTGAGAAAGGAATTAGGTAGCAGTATGTTTCACAACACATGCATCCAATCGTTATTACAGAATATCACCCCAAGACTAAATTGATATTAGATCTCAAAACTTAGAAAATGGTTGTTTGAAGTAGAGGGAACAAATGCCATAAGAGTATGTTTTAAGCAAGATTAAACTGGAGAAGGTGAAAACTTCCAGCGTCTCCAAATCTCGCTGTCATTCAGAAGACAACCTGTACCCGGCTCAGCATCATAGGTCTTGCCTACCCTATTAGCATTTGGTATTCTTCACTCTTTGGCTCATTAGCTTCAGATAATCAACTTGAAAGAAAACCAGACACACTCCTTAAAGTTCCATTATCAACCCACAAAGCACCCAGTTACAGTATGGAAACGAGAAATAAACTGAATGAGGTTTTCATAATATGCTTCTAGCAAAGCCTGATGAAAAGAAAACTAATTTTGGCACATCAGTCGTTTCAAATTACTACAGTAGTGACTTCAGAGTTACAACTACGCTTAAAAATGGACTGAAAAGAAACAAGTCGTTTTTCCCCAAGGCCACAGGGCTATACAGCTCCTCAAATTCTCATGTGGTTTCACTTGGTTTCTTTTTTCTGTCCTCGCCTCACACCCTCCTTTCAAACAGGTTTTAGAACGTTTTTCTGTCCCCGTCTAAAACACAGCTATTCATGTCTGACCAAGACCTAGTAAGTTCACTGTTAAGGTACATTCTAAAGAGTGTTTGCAGAGTTGGGTTATTATTATTATTGTTATTATTATTGATTATGAGGTTGTTCCTGGTGAGCTCCACTGCTGCCAGATAAACTTTTGACCAAAATGACTTTTTCACATAAAGGTTTCTGGTTTGCACAATGGAAGCATGAAGGCTTTTATGCACAGTAACGGTTGCTATAAGTTCAGAAACGGGCAGCATCTGACACCAGATTTTTTTCTGCTTCAGCTACTTGTACATCTATTCCACAACACCCAGCCCTGCTCTTGCTGCGTTTTTTAAAAAAAAGTCCACTAGAAAACAATAAAAGTTCTGAAGCAGTTCGGTAGCAACGTGTGAAGCGTAACCAAAACAACGGCAACAAAAGAAGAACTAGTAATTAATTCACCAAATAAGAGGTATTTGCTTTCCTTCTTTCCCACTGTAATTACAGCCACCTTATAAGACAGTGTATGATCAACAGCATATTCATCCCTTCTTGAAATCACCAGAATTTCCCCGAGTCCTATATCCAGAAAACTCCACTATTACAAATGTTTTGATACAGGTTGATGCTGCAGATAAATTACAATTATGAAAGAAAAAAAATTGTAAGATAAAAAATATATAAAATAAAAAACATATAAAAGAAAAAAATATTAAATAGAAGGAAAAAAAAGGTGAGATCGAAAGTCTGCTGAAGGGGCATATAGAATCCATAGCAATAAAGGCACAACCAGAGTTGTGCCCATCTGATACGCAGATTCACTTACTTCCCCTGCCCTTTTTGCATTACAGCCGTGTATAGCAACTCACTGTTCCACAACTGTTGCATGCCTTTTACCAGCATTCAGCATTAACATTCTTTTAGAAGAGATGATTAATATATGTGCCATAACGTATTTTAAATACTTGAATACTACCAAAAAGAAGTGGGGTTTTTTTTTATTCCTTACTGAAAACAGCACAACATGAAATCCATGAGGAGAAGAGATGGGAAATCTACAAACTACTGTGAAGCAGGTCTATCTGACACACAGTTTACAAGAATTACAGTAGTTTACTAATGTTCCAATATTAAATTAACTTTATAATAATGAGTACTGATGCTCTGCATTTATGATACAGAACATTCCAGTGTTAATTCTGGTATCAACTGTAGCAATGTCAAAATTTTGTTTAATGTAATTGCTTATACAGCAAACTAACTACATGAATCTCAGTTCACCCACCAAATTTGATCCCCATGTGATTTATACCCCCCTTCCACCCACACACTGAAAGACATCCACCCCCCCCATCTGAGCCATAGCCATGTAAAATACACAAAAACATAACTGATACAAGAACTCACTTGCACTGGACAACATCTAAAATATGTAAATACCTGTTCCTGCAGGTCGTAGTCATAGCTATCATGCAGCAGAAGACTGAGGACATACCGAGTATAAATCATGGCATCAATGCCACACTTCTCTAGCTCTTGTCCCAGCCAGGTCTGCACTGGACCCAAAGCATGTAGCAGAGACATTTCAGAAACAGATACAGGGCCTGGATAAGAGCTTGAGGAGCTTTCAGATGGCAAACCATCCACAACAACTGTACAGATAGGGCGCATGAATCTAGGTGGTTGGCATCCTTATAAGATGAATCATTTTCTGTAGTTGATATTCCGTCGGTATCTGGAGGTGATTTTCACTCCAGTAAATAGGAGAGAGGCTTGACTTCTAGGACAATCATTTATATTTCCTGGCAGTTAGCCGTCTAGAGACGAACATCACTCTTCAGGCATGACCAGTGAATAAACTAAATCCTAATAGCAAACACATATGTAGATGTGTTTTTCTACCTTAATTTCACATTGAGGCCAGATGCAAGTCCCCAGCAGGACCTATAAAGAGGAAAAAATGATAAGTTGTGATAATGTGTATCCATACATCAATAATATTACACAGTGAAAAACACACCCAATGTGGAAAGCAGTCTTTTACATACTGCTTAATCCACATATACAGTACACCTATTCAGTGTCATTTTGAAGAGCAACAGGAATTATTCCAAGTTTAAAGGTGACTTTTAGAAAAGGTACTTTATTGCAGGAAAAGAGATTTTCAAAAACTTAACAATGAATCCATTGACTGAAATGTATGTTTGACCTCAGTTTATGGGAAAGTTGAGATTTTATTACTTTCACTATCAGCTGAAAAAAACCCCACTTTGATTTTAAAAAGGCCACAATCAATGTTACCTTGAGTAAAGACTGACTGTATATTTTGCATCACTACAAGTCAATATAATCCTACTGTTTTGCAGTGATTTCATTTCTGGAATAAAGTGTCTTCTTTATAAAACACTGAATTTATGAAATTAATCTGGCCAGGAGTTTCATAAATCCTACCACTAAATAGTTGCTATCTTTGGGCTTGGGGTTTTATTTTTAGTTTCAATATTTGCCTTGCCTCAGGACAGCAAAGCATTTTATCATCCAAAGTCTGCCCTCATGAAAAGATAAATCTCTGGAATAACTTAAAAAATTTGAGCAGAACATAATTTATCAGTGCCAGAATTATCATTTATCCCTCTTTATAGAAAACATACACCAGTCTTACCTAAGAGCTTACACTCTAAACCATATCCTAGAATAGACAAACCCTCTCTACACCGCCCACAATCCCAAATCAGTGTTGGTAAGTAAGGGGCAGAAGGTGCAAGCACCACACGCAGGTATTCTGCCCTCTATAACCCAAAAGCAGTCAGTCCAAAAAAGCTATTTTTGAACCAGTGTGCCAATCAACCACATGCTGACCTGGCATTTGTGCAGGCTGCCTCTCTCCTCTCCACCTTCTCAGCAAGAGAAAACAAAACTCAAACCCTAGCAGGACATATCCCTTCACCGAAAAGAAACTCAGACTAAAGGATGTAAGCAAAACCTTGTTTTGTTTCAAGCCCACCGAAGATGACCAACACACTCCAAACAGACATCAGCTAATCTAACTATATAAACTACATACTGGAGGCAGCATGTGTTTTGTGGCCAAACAACACTGAAAGGTGACCTTGCAGTTGATACCTTTGTCCACAAAACGAAACATCATAGTTTATAGGAGCTTTTTTGCATCATCACCCAGTCAGAACCCTGTATTCCCGGTCTTTACTGCGTCAATTGCAACACCAAAAAGAAACCCACTACAATCAGTTTCTACAGAGCTGACAAAATTCTACACTAGTCTAAAGCCTCGAGTTGCCTGATGGCAATGTTCATTTTGAGAAAGTAGGTACTGCAACAGTATTCAGTCTCTGTCAGTAACAAGTTCGTTTTTAGTCAGAATCTCTTAAGTAAGCACCAATAACAGCAGATAGAAACATTCGGCAAAGGGCCTGAAGGTTACTGCTTTCATCACATAATTAGAGAACAGAAAGTATGAGAAAAGTCTGATATTGCAACCAAGATGCTCCAAATCAAGAGCCGCAAGCCCAAACTCTTAAGCAGTATTCTCTTAATTGTCGAAGAACAACACTCAAACATCTATTTCCTCATTCTCCTGTTGGCACTCCGCATCACAGCATGCGATGAACACTCTCGCTAAGTCAATGCCACAATCCCATTCGGCCCCTCAAACTCCGTGTTTCAAACATCTGGGAAAACTGACAGTCTCGGTATGTCCTTTTTTAGACATGGAACAGAACTACCTGAATCAACTAATTCTTGACAGAGCTGACAGGAAGTTCATCTAGAAAGGGTAATTATGAAAGGGTGGATAGGGAGGAAAATCAGGGGGAAAAAAGTGAGAAAATGACCAAACAAGAAATTCATTTATTCTAAATTCAACGTGTCTCCCATCTACCCATCATCTTTTCCTTTACACAGTGTACAGAGAATGGAGAGGGACAGCAAATACACATTCCAAGTAGTCTTTGGTTTGCAAAGATACAATCAAAAAGTCCAGAGAGGAGAGATGGTGAGGGCTTGATTAATGTGATCACATCTTGCAAAGAAGGTTTCGAGTATCCAACATAGCAAAGCAGCTGGCTTCTGGAAATTGAGTTCCTTAATCAAAAGCGACTGCACCAGTAGACAATGGAAGAGCTATAGATGTCACCTACCTAGACTTCTGTACGCCTTTGACATGGTCCCCACACAACATCCTTGCTGCTAAATTGGAGAGGTACGGATTTGATGGATGGCTTATTAGATGAATAAGGAATTGGCTGCATGACCGTGTTCAACGACTTACAGCCAATGGCTCAATGTGCAAGTGGAAATCAGTGATGAGTGGCGTCCCTCTAAGATCCATACTGGGACCAATATTATTTCATACCAATGACATGGTGGGACTGAGTGCACCCTCAGCAAGTTCACAGGCGACACCAAGCTGAGCAGTGAAACTGATTCGCTGGAGGGAAGAAACACCAACCACAGGGACCTCATGAACCTCAGTAAGGCCAAGTGCAAGGTTCTGCATGTGGGTTGGGTCAAGTCCAGCATCATTTCAAATTGGGGAATGAATGGATGGAGAGCAGCCCAGTGGAGAAGGGCGTGGAGGTACTGGTAGACGAAAATCTAGACATGAGACAGAGCTTACAGCCCAGAAAGCAAACTGTATCCTGGGCTGCATCAAAAGAAGTTACAACCAGCAGCTGGAGGGAGACAATTATGCCCCTCTGCTCTGCTCTTGCAAGATCCTACCTGCACTACTGTGTCCAGCTCTGGAGTCCCCAGTACAAGACAGACATTGACCTGTTAGAGCGGATCCAGAGGAAGGCCACAAAAATCAGAGGCATGAAGCACCTCTCCCATCAAGAAAGACAGAAGAACCATGGTTGTTCAGCCTCAAGAAGAGAAGGCTCCAAAGACAGTTTATTGCAGCCTTTCAGTACTTAAAAGGGAGCTTCCAAGAAAGACGGGGACAAATTTTTTACAAGGGCCTGTAGTGACAGGACAAGGGGCAATGGTTTTCTCAAAGAGAGTAGATTTAGATTGGACATAAGGAAGACATTTTTTACAATGATGGTGTTGAGACACTGGAACAGCTTGTCCAGAGAAGCTGTGGATGACCTGTTTGAAGTGTTGAAGGTCAGGCTGGACAGGACTTTGAGCAACGAGATCTAGCGAGCTTGTCCAGAGAAGCTGTGGATGACCTGTTTGAAGTGTTGAAGGTCAGGCTGGACAGGACTTTCAGCAACGAGATCTAGCAGAAGGGGTCCCGGCTCACAGTACAGGCAGTTGGTCTAGATGATCTTTAAAGGTTCCTTCCAGCCCAAACTACTCTATGGTATAGCAAAGCAAAGGGCTTGGTGAGTCATTTCAGTCAAAACTTAATAAGACACATGGTTTAGATTCTTAGCACCTAGTAAAGACTGAGTTTATGCTTCAGCTTTTCCCTGAGTGAGGTGATAACATCGCCTCTTCTTTCTATCTTAACACTTATTTTCATGAGGCATTTGAGAAATTCAGATCTAGGCTGACAAAATTTAATTTGCTTTGGCTAACCAGTTAAAGCACGTCTTGCATTTTTAGATCAGGACAAGAGGGGAAAGACGGCAAGACAGAGAGAGGTTATCACAGGAATTAAGAAATGAGACAACAAAATTTCTATTATGTTCAAATAGCATAGTCGAGCTTTTTTGAATGCCCTAATCAATCATCTATTTTAACTTAAGTTTCAAAACACATTCATTATCCAAAAATTGGAAATCCAAATAAAATTCTGAAATAATATTTGAGTTCTCATTTTACAATTGTCAAGCACTTTTTTTTTTTTACAAAAAGTCTTAAAATACCTCCATTATGTTTTAGAATTAACAAAACTTCACACAAACTATTTTCCCATCCCAATACTAGCAAGAGGCTTTCTGTATCAAATTAATTCAAGTCACTCAAAGAACAAACATTTTGGTTAATAGATATGTAGCTTGATTTTAGAGGTCTTTTCTGACAAATATGTTATCATCCCTTTCCAATCTTTTTCAAACTGTCTTGTTAAAAATAACTCTCCATCCTCACAATGACCACAACTAATCCTAAGTAATTATTGCAAGGCTAGTTATTTTATCTAGCAAACTGGAAAGAATTTTCCATTTCAAGCTATAAAATGTAATGGAGGAAAATTCCTTATAAAGAGAATTACCAAACAAAAAATTACACAACTCTATCGACAGTTTGTGAAAACTACTGATTACTTACAAATCCTAAAATTCAAAATGTATGATGAAATTCTTCAAAAGAATTTCTACTTACTCCACTTCCTAGTCACATTTTTCCTTTTAAGTAACCTTCAGTTTCTGTAATAGTAATCAATGAGTTAACAAGGTCACTGTTAGATAAGCTGTCAACAGCTTAACAACTATAGGTACAAAAGCCCATTTACATGTGTTTTGTAAAGGAATGAGAATACAATATTGTGTAAACAGATTTTACTTACTGTAGTACCTTATAATAGATACTCTTCCTCAAAATTCTACTCAGTGTGATAGTCACTAAACATTCTTTTGACCTAATAGACAGGGAAGACAGTAACTGAGTTTTAGTCTCCTTAAATCTAGTTATGGAAAAGCAAAAAGTTATATAATCTGTAACAAGAAACAATAAGGAAAACCTATGGTACAGAAACTGATGCTGGAATACTCCAAGTCCATTCCCTGCAATAGAGTTGTTCTTGATAAATCATATTGTTTGAAGACTAAATAATCCTAGTCTTCCCCATAAGTGAAATTGAGTGAGTATTGTCATAACAAGTATATAAAATAATTTTTTTATATAAAGAGTGTCTTGGTAATAGGGCGATCAAAGTCACACAAACACCTTCTTGTGACAGTTGTGTTTACATCAATACAGCATTATGGTGTAAAATAACACTACGAGTGCAGTAGAAGAAAGTACTTAAATCACTCTT